CTTGATGGTACTGCAGTACAGTGTCTGTTTGATGGTACTGCAGTACAAGTCTGTGTGATGGTACTGCAGTACAGTGTCTGTGTGACAGTGTCTGTTTGATGGTACTGCAGTACAGTGTCTCGTTTGATTGTGCAGTACTGTCTGCTCTTGATGGTGCAGTACAGTGTCTGTTTGATGGTACTGCAGTCCAGTGTCTGTTTGATGGTACTGCAGTCCAGTGTCTGTTTGATGATACTGCAGTCCAGTATCTGTTTGATGGTACCGTAGAACAATACTTGCTTGACAGTACTGCAGTCTGCTTGATGGTACTGTAGTAATGCCAGTGTCTCTCCTTGATGGTCAACTGTAGCACAATACCTGTTTGATGATACTGTAGCACAATACCTGTTTGATGGTACTGTAGCACAATACCTGCTTGATGGTACTGTAGCACAATACCTGCTTGATGTACTGTAGCACAATACCTGTTTGATGGTACTGTAGCACAATACCTGTTTGATGATACTGTAGCACAATACCTGTTTGATGATACTGTAGCACAATACCTGCTTGATGATACTGACTGACTGACTGAGTTTGGTTTGAAGCACAATACCTGCCTTGATCCGCTGTGAGTTCTGAAGCACAATACCTCCTTGATGGTACTGTAGCACAATACCTGTTTGATGATACTGTAGCACAATACCTGCTTGATGATACTGTAGCACAATACCTGCTTGATGGTACTGTAGCACAATACCTGCTTGATGATACTGTAGCACAATACCTGCTTGATGGTACTGTAGCACAATACCTGTTTGATGATACTGTAGCACAATAGCACAATGATACCTGACTTGATGGATACTGTAGCACAATACCGGGGACTTGATGGTACTGTAGCACAATACCTCCTTGATGGTACTGTAGCACAATACCTCCTTGATGGTACTGTAGCACAATACCTGCTTGATGATACTGTAGCACAATACCTGCTTGATGGTACTGTAGCACAATACCTTGATGATACTGTAGCACAATACCTGTTTGATGGTACTGTAGCACAATACCTGCTTGATGGTACTGTAGCACAATACCTGCTTGATGGTACTGTAGCACAATACCTGCTTGATGGTACTGTAGCACAATACCTGCTTGATGGTACTGTAGCACAATACCTGCTTGATGAAACTGTAGCACAATACCTGCTTGATGGTACTGTAGCACAATACCTGCTTGATGGTACTGTAGCACAATACCTGCTTGATGGTACTGTAGCACAATACCTGCTTGATGATACTGTAGCACAATACCTGCTTGATGGTACTGTAGCACAATACCTGCTTGATGGTACTGTAGCACAATACCTGCTTGATGGTACTGTAGCACAATACCTGCTTGATGATACTGTAGCACAATACCTGTTTGATGGTGTTAGTGAGCATATAATTTTGGTGCTACTACATCAAGATCATAAAGGCCATGAAGCAGGTATTGTACAGTAGAAGCATCAAGCAAGCACTGTTCCGCGGTACCATATAGCAAGTACTGTAGTTCAGTACCATCTACCAGGTATTGTACAACAGTACCATCAAGAAAGTATTAGTCCTCAATACCATCTAGCAGATATTATTCTTCAGTACCTTCTAGCAGTTTATTATTCCTCACTACCATCTAGCAGATATTATTCTTCAGTACCATCTAGCAGGTATTGTCCTTCAGTACAAGCTAGCCGTTATTATTCCTCACTACAATCTAGCAGGTATTATTCTTCAGTACCATCTAGCAGGTATTATTCTTCAGTACCATCTAGCAGGTATTATTCTTCAGTCCCATCTAACAGGTATTGTTCTTCAGTACCATCTACAGAAGGTATTGTACAACAGCACCATCAAGAAAGTATTAGTCCTCAATACCATCTAACAGGTAGTATTCTTCAGTACCATCTAGCAGTTATTATTCCTCACTACCATCTAGCAGGTATTATTCTTCAGTACCATCTAGCAGGTATTATTCTTCAGTACCATCTAGCAGTTATTATTCCTCACTACCATCTAGCAGGTATCTGGCGGGTAGTATTCTTCAGTACCATCTAGCAGGTATTATTCTTCAGTACCATCTAGCAGGTATTATTCTTCAGTACCATCTAGCAGGTTATTATTCCTCACTACCATCTAGCAGGTATTATTCTTCAGTACCATCTAGCAGGTATTATTCTTCAGTACCATCTAGCAGGTATTATTCCTCACTACCATCTAGCAGGTAGTATTCCTCACTACCATCTAGCAGGTATTATTCTTCAGTACCATTTAGCAGGTGTATTATTCTTCAGTACCATCTAGCAGGTGTTATTCTTCAGTACTCACTACCATCTAGCAGGTATTATTCTTCAGTACCATCTAGCAGGTGTTATTCTTCAGTACCATCTAGCAGGTATTATTCCTCACTACCATCTAGCAGGTATTATTCCTCACTACCATCTAGCAGGTATTATTCTTCAGTACCATCTAGCAGGGTTATTCTTTATTCATTATTCTTCAGTACCATCTAGCAGGTATTATTCCTCACTACCACCACCTAGCAGGTATTATTCTTCAGTACCATCTAGCATTCTTCAGTACCATCTAGCAGTCACTACCATCTAGTTATTCTTCAGTACCATCAAGAAAGAATTAGTCCTCAATACCATCTAGCAGGTATTATTCCTCACTACCATCTAGCAGGTATTATTCTTCAGTACCATCTAGCAGGTATTGTTCTTCAGTACCATCAAGAAAGAATTAGTCCTCAATACCATCTAGCAGGTAGTATTCTTCAGTACCATCTAGCAGGTATTGTTCTTCAGTACCATCTAGCAGGTATTGTACAACAGCACCATCAAGAAAGTATTAGTCCTCAATACCATCTAGCAGGTAGTATTCTTCAGTACCATCTAGCAGTTATTATTCCTCACTACCATCTAGGAGGTATTATTCTTCAGTACCATCTAGCAGGTATTGTTCTTCAGTACCATCAAGAAAGAATTAGTCCTCAATACCATCTAGCAGGTATTATTCTTCAGTACCATCTAGCAGGTATTGTTCTATCAGTACCATCTAGCAGGTAGTATTCTTCAGTACCATCTAGCAGGTATTATTCCTCACTACCATCTAGCAGGTATTGTACAACAGCACCATCAAGACAGTATTAGTCCTCAATACCATCTAGCAGGTATTATTCTTCAATACCATCTAGCAGGTATTATTCTTCAGTACCATCTAGCAGGTATTGTACAACAGCACCATCAAGAAAGTATTAGTCATCAATACCATCTAGCAGGTATTATTCTTCAGTACCATCTAGTTGTCATACAGTGTCAATTGTAAGGTTTTGTGAGTGAGTGAGTTTTCACAATATTCCAGCAATAACACAGTAGGCGACACCAGAAATGGGCTTCATGCCTTACACCCAAGTGAGGCTACTCCAGCCTGTGATAATTAACACCATCAAGCAAATGCCTTATTTGTGTTTATGTTTTATCTTGCATGATAAACTGAAGATTTCCTCATGTTTTCCTCATTAGATTTAGTACTGTTTTGACCAATACATTATCAAACAAAAGTACTGACAGGCCAAATTCATTCAAACTGCAACCTACATAAGATCATCATATTCAGGCTCATATTAGTACTGCAACAAACTCTGTGGATACTTCACAAAAGAAGAAAAAACTCCAAGTAAATAAAGCTAAACATGTTTTCTTATGTGTTGGACAAAACATGCATTATTCTCAGACACAAACAACAAAATCTTCTCGAGTCAGTTCTTTACACAGGTAATATGCATGAACAAAAGCTCTCAATATACCATCTACAAGATTTACTTCTATATATTTCACAAGTGATAAAGTAGAGTGAAAAAATCCCAACACTATTTGCTAAAATAAAATCCTTTTTTTCACTTCTAAACACCTGAAATTAAAAATAATTCATATTGTTGCATAGATTTTACAGCCATCAAAATACCAGAATTACTTATATTTTAATAAATCAGATACAACTATTTTCTAAATGATTCTTATTACACAAGTATGCAAACAAATCACATAAAAGTGTCGATACATTTACTTCCCTTGTAAGTAAAGAGTTCTTACAGCATTGAACCATTACGGTCTAATCCTCACATTTCTATTTGTCCGCAATAAACATGCAATACTCTCCACACGCGCTCCACGTGCGGAGAACACACAGTGTGTATTACACGCATAAAGCACACAGCAAAACGATCCCGTGAAACACATTGACCGCGCGTGTGAGCCAAATCTCTGTGCAATACACGGTAGCCGCACGGAATTCCCTCGAGTATATCCCTCGTAACATTATCGGCCTATGATGAAAGCGGGGTCAGCCGAGGTCCCATTTCTCTGTCCGGTCGCGTAAAATCAGAAACCCCGACCCCCCGCGACCTCCCCTTCGCTGCCGTGTCATAGCTTTACACCTAACATGCACATGTATTCATAAGCAATCAGCATGCGATGTAAGCGTGTGAAACACTTTCGCGCGTTTTTGAACATTATTCAATCACTATAACTGGTTCCAATGACTGAACGATCGCATGCCATTAACCCGTCGTGTGGGATGGGTTTTACACGGACCACCAACAAAATAAAATAGACCTTCCGAAATGTCTAAACAAGCAGACGATATATGACAATACAGTTCAATCACGTTATTGTAATAGAGAGTTAAAAAAATATACCTTGATGCCGACACCGGTGAATAAACACGAAATGGAAAGTAGAGGTATTAAACCGTTGCGGTTTTAACACTCCGACCAATGCTTATCGCACGGCAAGCAACACTATTGCATAACAAAGATGTGACTGCCTCAGACATCGACAAGAAATATTGACTAGCCGAATACGCAATCCGATTGTTATTGATATCGCAGCAAATTGCAATACAAACTCGATTAAAAACATGCTATCAACCCTTCAATGCAAGACAGAAAGAAAAGAAGAATATGACAAGACCTACGGTGAAAGCCAGGCCGCGCTGTGTGATCTGCTAGTTGTGGATCATGGCGACTTACAGACTAATTACAGCCAGTAATTAGAAAGCGTGCTGTTAGCTATGGAGTGGAGCAAGCTAGGTCTAGGTCAAACTTGCCTCAAAATCCGTCACGTTGTTAATTTCTTCAGGTTGAAGTTTGCCGCTTCGAGCCCCCTGGATCGCTAGGAGGTCAGGTTTGCCGGTATTCGCACCTCTCTGTCTCGACAGCTCGAGCGTCTCTGGCGACTTGCAAGCATTCAAAACGGCAGCTAAAAATAACAGTAAATGAAAAGTGGATATTTTATTGCGCTAATTAATTATTCAAAAATTAATTGGAATGAGTTGCGCATGCTTCAATTAACCAGACTCAACCGGAAGCGGAATTGTGGGATAGAAAATGGCAGCCGTCTAGCAGGTGCCCGGTGAGTGAGGAAAAATGAGAAAAAGTAGCAAATAAACGTATTTGAATTCCAAATCATTGGCGCATATACATCCGAACAAGTACACTTTACATACCTGACACATACAGCAATTAATTAAACATTTATCTCAAGCGCAATCACCAAATCTATTCACGACTCCTCGCATGGCAAACACGAATGTTGACAAAACTCATGCAGACGACGTGTTTCTCAAAGGGTGTTATTCAGCATCACACGCTGTTCAATGTGAACTAAAATGACAGGTGACCAAGATAATATGTAAGTAGGTCATTCAGAACATTTTCCGATCTATTGTGGAAAATGACACAGAAAATAATTCATTGTCGAGTGATTATGACAACGTGTGGTGTTCATGCAACACGAGACGAGCCTGCTTAATTAATGAGATTGAAGATAGTTCATCTATTATTGCATTCGTCAAGCACCCAATACAGTAGTGCAGTATACAGATATATAGTTCATTTATTGTTGATTGTGAACAATCATATCCCATTGAACCTCATCTTGTAATGAACACTGTCATATATAGGTCAAGGAAATGAATCCAGTAATTTCACATTTTGCGTGACACTTTTTATTACATATGGTTCACTTATCCATTGCGATGTATTCGGATACATTGATGAGAACAAACTAACATATTTCATAAGTAATTTCTTAAATAACCAGTGATGAAAACAGGCATGTAATGTTATGATAGAGTGAATAGCACATTCACAGAAATGATCACATGGACATTATGAAATCAAATTCACATTTCTGCATTCAAATATTTCAGGAAAATATAAATAGCATGAATCTCATTTTAGGAGAATGAAATGCTCAGAATTTAATTGTCATCTATCTAGACATATGCACTTGTAAGAAAATTCAGATGTTTCCGAAGTACAACAGAAGTGTTTTCTAAGGAAATGTTTTTTAAGAAATACCCAGCTTCAGAAACCATGACTATCCAATTTCAGTCATATATGCAAACACAAGAAAGTGCAATGTACAGCATCTGAATAAATGTGTGTGTATTACAAAAATACATTGTCATTTATGATCTTCTGGAAGGAAACAGAAATGTTGAAAAAATGGTTTGTTATATTACCTCATCAAAAATTCCAGCACCTGTTGATGTGAATGGTATCAAAAGCAATCAGGTTTAATCTAAATCACATGAATGCATTGGTCGAAAGGTTGTTATTGTCAGTCATGATGTTTGATTTTTGCAGAAAAATAGTGTCTTATGAGGCAGGTGGGACTGCAAAAGTGCTCACAGACGATATACATACAGAAACCTTTGTAATGGTGCACTGGTCCTCTTCACCATCACCTGTTAATCACTGACTATTCCATGTTTTGATGGCTCCTCTTGCCCATCACCTGATCATCACTAACTTTTCCATGTTGACATTGTTCCACTCGCCCATCACCTGGTTATCACTGACTGTTCCATGTTGAAATAATTCCTCTTGCCCATCACTTGGTTTTCACTGACTATTCCATGCTGACATCGTTCCACCTACCTTTCACGTGTTCATCACTAACTTTTCCATTTTAACATCATTCCTTTTTCCCCATCACCTGGTTATCATTGACTGTTCCATGTTGAAATAATTCCTCTTGCCCATCACTTGGTTTTCCCTGACTATTCCATGCCGAAATAGTTCCACCTGCCTTTCACCTATGCATCACTAACTATTCAATGTTTTCATCGTTCCACTCACCAATCACCTGGTAATAACTAACTATTTCATGTTGACATCGTTCCTCTTCCCCATCACCTGGTAATAACTAACTATTTCATGTTGACATCGTTCCTCTTCCCCATCACCTGGTAATAACTAACTATTCCATGTTGACATTGTTCCTCTTCCCCATCACCTGGTAATAACTAACTATTCCATGTTGACATCATTCCTCTTCCCCATCACCTGGTAATCACTGACTATTCCATGCTGATATCGTTCCTCTTGCCCATCACTTGATTTTCACTGACCCTTCCATGCTGACATCGTTCCACCTGCCTTTCACCTTTTCATACTAACCTTTCCATGTTGACATTGCAATGCATAAGTCATTTTTGCAATAAGTTCAAGAAAATCAGGGCAATAGCCATCGCTAATATCTGGAATCTGCATATTGAAATTGCTTCAGTATGTATTGATACCCGTACAGTGTGTATTGACACCCAGCCATTATGTATTGATACCCATACAGTGTGTATTGATACCCAGCCATTATTTATTGATACCCAACCATTATGTATTGATACCCATCATTATGAATTCATGACGAGTCTACCCGGGAAGGTCCGGGTTAGAATATTAATCTTCAGTAACCCATGCTTGTCGTAAGAGGCGACTAACGGGATCGGGTGGTCAGGCTTGTTGACTTGGTTGACACATGTCATCGGTTCCCAATTGCACAGATTGATGCTCATGCTGTCGATCACTGGATTGTCTGGTACAGACTCGATTATTTACAGACCGCCGCCATATAGCTGGAATATTGCTGAGTGCGGCGTAAAACTAAACTCACTCACTCACTCATACCCAGTCAGTATGTATTAACACCCAACAATTGTGTATTGACACACAGTCATTATGTATTGATACCAGTACAGTGTATTGATGCCAGTACAGTGTATTGATGCCAGTACAGTGTATTGATGCCAGTACAGTGTATTGATGCCAGTACAGTGTATTGATGCCAGTACAGTGTATTGATACCAGTACAGTGTATTGATGCCAGTACAGTGTATTGATACCAGTACAGTGTATTGATACCAGTACAGTGTGTATTGATACCCAGTACAGTGTGTATTGATACCCAGTCAGTATGTATTGATACAAGTACAGTGTATTGATACCCAGTCAGTATGTATTGATACCAGTACAGTGTGTATTGATACCCAGTCAGTATGTATTGATACCAGTACAGTGTGTATTGATACCCAGTCAGTATGAATTCATACCAGTACAGTGTATTGATACCCAGTCAGTATGTATTGATACCCAGTCAGTATGTATTGATACCAGTAGTGTGTATTGAAACCCAGTCACTATGTCTTGATACCAGTACAGTGTGTATTGATACCAGTACAGTGTGTATTGATACCCACTCAGTATGTATTGATACCCACTCAGTATGTATTGATACCCACTCAGTATGTATTGATACCCACTCAGTATGTATTGATACCCACTCAGTATGTATTGATACCAGTACAGTGTATTGACACCCAGTCAGTATGTATTGATACCAGTACAGTGTATTGATACCAGTACAGTGTGTATTGATACCCACTCAGTATGTATTGATACCAGTAGTTTGTATTGATACCAGTACAGTTTGTATTAATACCCAGTCATTATGTATTGATACCAGTACAGTGTGTATTGATACCCAGTCAGTATGAATTCATACCAGTACAGTGTATTGATACCCAGTCAGTATGTATTGATACCAGTACAGTGTATTGATACCAGTAGTGTGTATTGATACCCAGTCAGTATATCTTGATACCAGTACAGTGTATTGATACTAGTACAGTGTGTATTGATACCCAGTCTGTATGTATTGATACCAGTACAGTGTATTGATACCAGTAGTGTGTATTGATACCCACTCAGTATGTCTTGATACCAGTACAGTGTGTATTGATACCAGTACAGTGTGTATTGATACCAGTACAGTGTGTATTGATACCCAGTCAGTATGTATTGATACCCGCTCAGTATGTATTGATACCCACTCAGTATGTATTGATACCCAGTCGGTATGTATTGATACCCACTCAGTATGTATTGATACCCACTCAGTATGTATTGATACCCACTCAGTATGTATTGATACCCACTAAGTATGTATTGATACCCACTAAGTATGTATTGATACCCATAGTTTGTATTGATACTCAGTCATTATTCATTGACACCCAGCCATTATGTTTTGATTCCAAGACGGTGTGTATCGACACCCAGTCAATATGTATTAATACCAGTACAGTTTGTATTAATACCCAGTCAGTATGTATTGATACCAGTACAGTTTGTATTGATACCCAGTCAGTATGTATTGATACCCATTCAGTTAGCATTGATACCCAGTCATTATTCATTGAAACACAGGCAGTATGCATTGACACCCAGCATTGATTTCCAGACAGTGTATATTGACAGACAGTGTATATTGACAGTCAGTGTGTCTTGATCCCCAGACAGTAAGTATTGATTCCTGGACAGTATGTATTGACACCAAGACAGCGTGTATTGACACCCTAACAGTGTGTCATGATTTCCAGACAGTGTATATTGACAGTCAGTGGGTATTGATTCCCAGACGGTAAGTATTGATTCCCAGACAGTAAGTACTGATTTCCAGACAGTGTGTATTGACATTCAAACAGTGTGTATTGACAGTCCATGTGTATTGATTCCCTAACAGTGTATATTGATTCTGAGACAGTTTGTCTTCAGACAGTGTATTAATTCCCAGACAGTGTATTAATTCCCAGACAGTGTGTATTAATTCCGAGACAGTGTATTGATTTCCAGTGTGTATTGGTTCCGAGACAGTGTCTTGATTCCGAGACAGTGTGTATTGACAGTGTGTTTTGGTTCCGACACAGTGTGACTTGATTCCCAGACATTGTGTATTGACAGTGTCTTGATTCCCAGACATTGTGTATTGACAGTGTGTATTGATTCCCAGACAGTGTTTATTTATTCCCAGATACTGTGTCTTGATTCCCAGACAGTGTGTATTGAGAGTGTGTTTTGGTTCCGACACAGTGTGTCTTGATTTCCAGACATTGTTTATTGACAGTGTGTCTTGATTCTCAGATATTGTGTATTGACAGTGTGTATTGATTCACAGACAGTGTGTATTGCTTCCCAGACAGTATGTATGGACATTGAAATGGTGTGTATTGATTCCAAGACAGTGTGTATTGACAGCGTGTTTTGGTTCCGACACAGTGTTACTTGATTCCCAGACATTGTGTATTGACAGTGTCTTGATTCCCAGACATTGTGTATTGACAGTGTGTATTTATTCCCAGACACTGTGTCTTGATTCCCAGACAGTGTGTATTGACAGTGTTTTTTTGTTCCAACACAGTGTTACTCGATTCCCAGACATTGTGTATTGACAGTGTGTCTTGATTCTCAGACATTGTGTATTGACAGTGTGTATTGCTTTCCAGACAGTATGTATGGACATTGAAATGGTGTGTATTGATTCCCAGACAATGTGTATTGACAGTCAGTGTGTATTTATTCTTCTCAGACAGTGTGTATTGATTCCCAGCCAGACAGTGTGTTGTGATACACAGACTGTTTGTATTGGTACCACATTGTATGTGTTGACACTCAGTTTGTATTGATACCGAGACAGTATGTATTGATACTGAGACAGTATGTATTGATAACCACACAGCATGTATTGACACTTGGTATCAATACACACTGAGTGTCAATGCATACCATCTGATATCAATACAAACAGTTTGGATATCAATTGTTTGGTCGCATTCTATCAGTCTGGCTATCGATAAACGATGTCTGAATATCAATAAACACTGGTATCAATACATCTTGTCAGTATGTATTGATACCCAGACTGTATGTATTGATACCAGTGTTTATTGATATTCAGACATCGTTTATCGATAGCCAGACTGATAGAATGCGACCAAACAATTGATATCCAAACTGTTTGTATTGATATCAGATGGTATGCATTGAGTGGTATGTATTGATACCAGATGGTATGTATTGATACCAGATGGTATGTATTGATACCAGATGGTATGTGTTGGTACCATGTGGTATGTATTGATACCAGATGGTATGTATTGGTACCATGTGGTATGTATTGGTACCAGATGGTATGTATTGATACCAGATGGTATGTATTGGTACCGGATGGTATGTATTGATACCGGATGGTATGTATTGATACCATGTGGATGTATTGTATGTATTGATACCATGATGGTATGTATTGATACTGGATGGTATGTATTGATACCATGTGGTATGTATTGATACTGGATGGTATGTATTGATACCATGTGGTATGTATTGATACTGGATGGTATGTATTGATACCATGTGGTATGTATTGACACTGGATGGTATGTATTGATACCATGTGGTATGTATTGACACTGGATGGTATGTATTGATACCAGATGGTATGTATTGATCTGGATGGTATGTATTGATGGTACCCGATGGTATGTATTGACACCAGATGGTATGATGGTATGTATTGATATGGTATGTATTGATACCATGATGGTATGGTATGTATTGATACCATGTGGTATGTATTGATACTGGATGGTATGTATTGATACCATGATGGTATGTATACCAGATGGTATGTATTGATACCCGGATGGTATGTATTGATACCATGATGGTATGTATTGATATGATGGTGGTATGTATTGACACTGGACCATTTATTGGTATGTATTGTACCTGGATGGTATGTATTGATATGGTATGTATTGATACTGGATGGTATGTATTGTATGTATTGTGATTACTGTATATTGATACATGATGGTATGTATTGATACCAGATGATGTATTGTATGTATTGACACTGGATGGTATGATTGACACCGGATGGTATGTATTGGATGGTATGTATTGATACCATGGTATGTATTGATACTGGATGGTATGTATTGATACCATGTGGTATGTATTGACACTGGATGGTATGTATTGATACCAGATGGTATGTATTGATACTGGATGGTATGTATTGACACTGGATGGTATGTATTGATACCATGGGTATTGTATGGTATGTATTGATACTGCATGGTATGTATTGATACCATGTGGTATGTATTGATACTGGATGGTATGTATTGGTACCATGTGGTATGTATGGTATGTACTGGATGGTATGGTACCAGATGGTATGTATTGATACCAGATGGTATGTATTGGTACCGGATGGTATGTATTGATACCGGATGGTATGTATTGATACCAGATGGTATGTATTGGTACCGGATGGTATGTATTGATACCATTTGGTATGTATTGATACTGGATGGTATGTATTGATACCATGTGGTATGTATTGGTACTTGATGGTATGTATTGATACTGGATGGTATGTATTGATACTGGATGGTATGTATTGACACCGGATGGTATGTATTGATACCAGATGGTATGTATTTTTACCATGTGGTATGTATTGACACTGGATGGTATGTATTGATACCATGTATGTATTGATACTGGATGGTATGTATTGATACCATGTGGTATGTATTGACACTGGATGGTATGTATTGACACTGGATGGTATGTATTGATACCATGTATGTATTGATACTGGATGGTATGTATTGATACCATGTGGTATGTATTGACACCGATGGTATGTATTGATACCAGATGGTATGTATTGATACCATGTATGTATTGACACTGGATGGTATGTATTGACACTGGATGGTATGTATTGATACCATGTATGTATTGATACTGGATGGTATGTATTGATACCATGTATGTATTGACACTGGATGGTATGTATTGATACCATGTATGTATTGATACTGGATGGTATGTATTGATACCATGTGGTATGTATTGATACCATGTGGTATGTATTGATACCAGATGGTATGTATTGATACTGGATGGTATGTATTGTTCATTTGGTGCACAGTGTGTTCTGACAATCCGTGCTTGTAGTAAGAGGCAGGATCAGGTGGTCAGGCTTGCTGACTTGGTTGACACACATAGATAAATAGTCATGATTTTATTCACTGGATTGTCTGGTCCAGATTTGATTATTTACAGTACCTGATGTTCTATTTACAAGAAAATGTATTTACAATCTGGCAACACTGCCAACAACCATGGACACTAGTTTGCTGGGAAAGTGTGTACATGCTCCCACGCAAACAGCCACCATACTCGTCTTGTGATCAAGTTCATGTAATTGTGTCTTTTATTGGTAGAATCTTTCAACCAGTAATGGTCCATATATTTCAAGTATAGTTCCATTTTCTTTGAGTTCAGTAATATTAGTTGTAGATTCTGCAATATGTGAAACCTTTCAAATCCATGGTTGTCAAACTTGGGGTTTATTTTCGCATTTCTTATATGCCCTCCAGAATCAGGGTGTGTCATGTCTCCCATCAAACTACATTTAATGAAGTTAAACGAAAAAATCAAGGTTGTAAAAAAGGCATAATCTATTTTATAATTAATGGTCTCTTTATTTCAACTTCGCCAGTACGTACTAAGATATCCATTTCAGAATAATAATTATCTCAAGCATGATCCTTATATGTGTTTTAATGTCCTTTCATTGCAGAATCAAGTCACAAAGACATTGATACAGCTCACAAGCCACCAAGTAAGTTTTGATACCGCTGTCCTATTTAGTGAGTTCTTTTGTTTAGAGTATTAAGTTTCAAAAAGTTATTTCTATGATTACTAACAGTATACAGTGTCTGTTTTACCTGTTAAACAGCGTCTGTCTGAGGACCCCTTCATATGCAGGCCTACCAAAGAAAACTTTCCCACTGTTCAGAAAAATGCAGAAAAGCCCACATTAATCGTGGAAATAGCAACATAAACCCATTACCTCGCTACTGAAACAGTAAAAACGGCAACGAAAAACTATGAAACTGCAACATTTTTATATCAGCGAACTTTGACCGCTACTGCGCATGCGCATTACGAACCGGGCTTTGTTCCAATTTCCGAGCAACCGTGAATCGCCTCACGTAGAAAAAGTATTAAATATGTTGAAATAATTGTTGTCAATCGTTTCATACAAATGGAAAGTAAACTAAACAGGTGTGCACACAAGTATCATGATGATAAATGCCAAATAACACAATAGAAATACTTAAACAGGAATGTAACTTTTGTCCAAGCTGGAAAATGTCAACATGTGGTTGAGACTTCCTCTTTCATGTGCGCATGCGAAAAATCGAAGTTGCGGGCTCCTCGTTTTATGATGCAGTGTTAGCGATTTAAAGTTGCCGTTTTTACTGTTTCAGTAGCGAGGTATTATGTTTATGTTGCTGTTTCCACGATTAATGTGGGCTTTTCTGTATTTTTCTGCACAAGTTTTCTTTGGTAGGCCTGCATATGTGGATGCACAAAGGAGATGTCCCTATGATAACTGATCGACCTACTGATTGTACATGCCTTGAGGATTCATAACACCTGTCTTTTCCAGTCATGACACCATTAACTTTTCTTTTTACTGATTAGTATTGTGTCAATCTAGAAAATGACTGAGCAAAGTTTGTTTTTGATAACAAATTGTTATCTACAAGGGTCCAAATATTTTATCTTTTTTATCATGGGTTATGGAATTCAGGTAACAGTAAATATCTAAATTTTGTTATATTCTTACACTCCATATTAAATTGCAGGGGGAAAATTACAACAAAAACTATGACATATACTGATTCAATGTATGTTCTTCCACACAGGTCAGAAAACATTAGTCAGAAGAATGGCAGTAGAAAATATATCTTGAAATGAAATGCCCAATTACACGTCATTCCTAAATGATTCTTTGGTAGCTAGCATTTGTTCCATATTCAGCTAATGTTGAGGTGAAATAATGCTCCAGTAAATGACATGGATGAGATTTCTGCTATTAACAAGATTAGTAATCAAGAAAACTGTAGCCTGGCTCTAGTGGTGTATGTTAAAACCCTGAAAGGAGGGGCTGATGTTTGCTGACTGGCAGCCATTGTTTGGCTCTTCATGTTCAACCTCGTCTCCTCACAGGGGGTCACATTAGCCTCTGCGGCTGGTTGTACTGGTGTGAGATTAGACCCTGAAAGGAGGGGCTGATGTTTGCTGACTGGCAGCCATTGTTTGGCTCTTCATGTTCAACCTCGTCTCCTCACATGGGGTCACATTAGCCTCTGCGGCTGGTTGTACTGGTGTGAGATTAGACCCTGAAAGGAGGGGCTGATGTTTGCTGACTAGCAGCCATTGTTTGGCTGTTGATGTTCAACATTGTCTCTTCCCATTGGGTCACATTTAGATTAGCCCCTGTGGCTGGTTGTACTGGTGTGAGATTAGACCCTGAAAGGAGGGGCTGATGTTTGCAGCCATTGTTTGGCTGTTGATGTTCAACATTGTTTCTTCACATGGGGTCACATTAGCCTCTGTGGCTGGTTGTACTGGTGTGAGATTAGACCCTGAAAGAAGGGACTGATGTTTGCTGACTAGCAGCCATTGTTTGGCTGTTGATGTTCAACCCCATCTCCTCACAGGTGGTCACCTTAGCCTCTGTGGCTGGTTGTACTGGTGTGACATTAGACCCAGAAAGGAGGGGCTGATGTTTGCAGCCATTGTTTGGCTGTTGATGTTCAATATTGTTTCTTCACATGGGGTCACATTAGCCTCTGTGGCTGGTTGTACTGGTGTGAGATTAGACCCTGAAAAGAGCAACTGATGTTTGCAGCCATTGTTTCATTGCTGATGTTCAACCTTGTCTCTTCACACTTTGTGACATTAGCCCCTGAGGCTGGCTGTACTGGTGTGAGATTAGACCCTGCTTACAGGGATTCATTTGCTGACTAGCAGCTGTTGTTATGAAGTCTATGTGTAGCCTTGTTGCCTCACAGGGGGGCATTAGCTATTGACAGGTAACACAGATGAAAGGTTCCATTACCTAGTCGCAAGTTACATGTGTCAAGGAAGGTCAGAGACTGGAGCTGTGTAACTTCGTTGATGGAAGTCATCATCATCCCATATGCGTATGTTCATGATGTCAGTCACCAGATTGTCTGGTCCACTCCTTCATGTACAAATGGCTAGAATATTGCTGAGTACTGCAATACACATTTCCTATGATCCTTTATTTGTTTCCCTCAGTATATATATCACTTCTAAAATAGAGGTAGTGGGATAGCCAAGTTGTTAAGGCGTTCGCTCGTCATGCTGAAGACCCGGGTTCGATTCCCCACTTGGGTACAGTGTGTGAAGCCCATTTCTGGTGTCCCCCGCCGTGATATTGCTGGAATATTGCTAAAAGCGGCATAAAACTAAACTCACTCACTCACTCATTTCTAAAATACACAACAATGAATGACACAACATCATATTCCAAATATGCAGGCACAGACTGTTTTCATCCAAATTGTCAATCGTTTCAGACTTAGGAATTTGTAACATAACACACTTTTGGCTGAAAGCGTGTTGTCCTTCCAGACTTACACTACTCTCGGACTAGTGAACTGGTGGCTGTCTGACTCATACAGGAGTACCCAATCTATGGACCATTTATTGCACTGTCAGCAAATTGTTTGTAACCAGAATTGAGTAACAGAAATATGCCTTGAGGTTGTGACAATTCCATCTCTTTGTAACTGTATGTGCATCAGTTAGGACTTCTAAACTTTCAGGGGGCGATGGGGTAGCCTAATGGTTAAAGCGTTGGCCCGGGTTCGATTCCCCACATGGGTACAATGTGTGAAGCCTTTTTCTGGTGTCCCCCGCCGTGATGTTGCTGGAATATTGCTAAAAGCGGCGTAAAACCAAACTCAGTCAGTCAGTCAGTCTCAACTTTCATCCAGTGTGTTTTCTTTTTGTTTCATGTAAGTATATTTCATTATGTTTGGATGATGTACAATAATAGTCTGTCATATAAATTATGAAATGAGATACATCTGAAATAATCCTTGTTTTACTTTTCTTTATAAATTTCTTCAAATTACGGTTTCAATTGATGTTGAGCATTGTAAAATATTTGGATTGCTTTATATGATATTATTCATATCATGTTTCAAAGTACAAACTTTGATGTACTAATACGAATGATGGTTTACTAGAAAATGACCTGAAATGCCATTCTCCTTCACGGAAAGCAATAAAACATATGACTTGTTGAAGTGATGGCCTGGAAATCTCATTTAAATGAATTATAAGAGCTTAAGAGAGAGTTCTATTTATATAAGAAACCCAACTTTTGATATTTATTAAGGTGTATAAACTCAATGAATAAGTGCAATATACTAGATTATTTATTGAGCAGGTGATGACTGTGTGTGTTATGAATTGTAATGAGATGAATTCTTAATGCCAGATAGCATTTCATTTAATCAAACAGAATTTAATAAATTAAAATTTGAACAAAAAATAAACAAATGATATCAGTATAATGCAAGAGGAAATGTTTCAATGTCGCCTGTCACTTTCTTTATTACGCGAGATTTAATAAGATCATTCCATCTTGTCAGGGGATCACTGGTGGACTCAAGGAACTTTAATTCCAAGCTGAAAATTTACAATAGATCCCTTTCTGCTTAGCAGTGATACAAGTTTTCTTTATGTGGTGTGACCTAGTACAAAATCTGCTTTCTTTGTTTGCTTGATAAATTGATGAATGTATCCTCCACCTGAAGTAGTGAAAATCAAAGGGGGGAGCTATGTAGGGTGTTTGCCTTCAGTGGCATTTTCTGCATGACAAAAGGATTAATATCCTAGGACATTAAGTTCATGTTTTCTTTGCACTTTCTTAATGCCCCAGTCTGATCACTAACATGAACACATCTCAGACAATATTTGAAACGTGTAGCCCCGATTTAATTTATTTGGACCGTTATATCACTTGATGGTTGAAGGTGTTGGTTTCACCTTGACACTTGTCAAATACTTTTTGTATTGCACATTAGTCAGTGACTGTAGATCCCTCAGTCAACTCATTTAGCAACGGAGCAGATCATATGTCTTGTTTCAGACGTTAATAGCCTTGTCCTTCCTACATCAAAGAAAAAATAGGCAATGGTTTATGAAGAAATGGCTGTGATATGTAATAAGAGTAATATTTAATGTTTTTTCTCATACATTTTAGTAGGGAATAGATAATATGTTGCTTGCAAACCTTGATGTTAGAAGACAAAGCTTCTTAAATGCAGACTTCACCTGAGAAAATAATTTGGAAAAAATGAATACCACTTTCTCAGGCGAGCAGGTTGGTCAGGTACAGCTTTTTAGGTTGATGGAAAAAAAAGTGTGTTTGATATCCTATTCTAAAATGTAACACCAAGGTATTTGTGTGTAAAGAAAGGAAGCACTCAAGACGTCAAAAACACTTGTCTCTATTTTTCCCTCTCATTCCGATTTGCCAGTTTTCTCAAATTAAGAATGGTGTACCAGGCTTGCAATGAAAACTATGTAGATTTTAGAAAGAAGGTATGTTTCCATAAACTGTGTAATGTATTTAAAAAGTTGGAAGAAGTATCATTAGTTTGCCAGCAAATCAAATCCTGTTACTATTTGTGCAGAGAACTGGAAAATAGTATGAATAATTACTCTTGAAAAAGTGTCTGTCGATAATGGAAAAGTATTGCTCACTGATGTAATGATGGTTATGGCTGT